AAAGAAAGAAAGAAAGAAAGAAAGAAAAGAAGAAAATGCATTTTATGTTGCTTAATGTCTACTTCTCAGAATGTGAGTACTCAGAGGGCAGAACATCTGTCTTGCTCACCTTTGTGTCTGCAGCAGCTAATCCAGGACTGAACACATGATGGCATTTTAAGTAAATAATTAGTGTAGTGCCTAGGGATTTCACTCAGTGTAGAGTGCATGCCAGTTCCCAGCACCAGCCAGAAGGACTACAGTATCCATGGATTTTGTAAGTGTGGGTTTAACTAATTCTCCATGGAAAGTGTAGTTAGGTTTCCTATGTTTCCATCCTCATGTGCAGTTTTTTCTTGTCATCATTCCCTAAATAGTACACTATGAACAACAACACAGCAAATACACTGGGTTTGGTATTACAAGTAATCTAGAGATGGTTTAAAGTATATCAAATAACCTAGGGTTGTAGCCATTCCTGTAATCTCAGTACTCTGGGAAGCTGAGGCGTGAGGATTTCAAGTTTGAACCTACCAGAGTCAACATTGTGATACCCTGCCAAACTTCTGTCTGTCTGTCTGTCTGTCTGTCTGTCTGTCTGTCTGTCTGTTTATCTATCTATCTATCTATCTATCTATCTATCTATCTATCTATCTATCTATCTATCTATCTATCCATCGTATCTATGGACACAGCTCAGTACAAATGGCCAGGATTCAATCCTTAGGGACTTTGGGAGGAGGGATGGGGGCATACCTCAGTGGTAGACGGCTTGTCTAGCATTCTGGAGCACTAAATTCCAACCCAACAGCACAAAGTAAGAGTGATGCAAATATTATGCTCCTTTATTATAAGGGACTTGAACATGCGAAGAATTTTATATCCACAAGGAACCCCAAATCCAAGCCCCAATGATACTATAGTTAGAGACAATAGGTGAGAAAACCAGGAAGGAGAAAAGGAGGAGATGGAGGGATGGAGGGAGAAAGAGAAAGAGTAAGGGAAGCAAGAAGGAAGGGAAGAAGAAAAAAAATAAAGCTGCTTGTCGTGGATGGTATGTTAGGCTTGTTTACTAAGGACCACTGAATTTACTCATCTGGTCTAGTCCCACAGCCTGCTTTGTGGCTGTCTTGGCTCCTCCACTTTCTGACTGAGCTTCTTGCCTTCTAAGTTGCCATCTGAGAAATGCACCCTTCCTCAGACCAAGTGCTCCTCCCTAGTTCCCTGCAGCTCCTGCTTTGCGTTCTGTGGTCTGTCCAACCAAAGGCCCTGAGCTACAATCTCCACCCTGTCTTCCAGGCTCACTGTGCCCTAGTTCTCAGGCCAAAATAGGCAGATTTCAGGATTTTTTTTTTTTTAGATTTCAGGATCTTTCAAGTTAAAGTTTACATTTAGAGCCTGGGGAGATGGCTCAGTAGAATAAGCGCTTGCCTGGTAAGCATAAAGGTCTGAGTTCAATCCCCGGTTCCACCAAAAAGGAAAAAAGAAAAAATAAATAAATAAATAAATAAAGTTTACCTTTAATATTCGTGTAGGGCGGAGGAGATAGCTCAGTGGCTTAAGTGCCTGCCTAGCAAGAGCAAGGTCCTGAATTCTATCCCTAGTATCCCCCCACTCCCCCCAAAAGAAAAAATATTCATGTTAATCTCATCTATTACTTCATATATATTTTCCTTCCAACAAAAATCGGAATAAAGTTGGTACTCAGGCAGACAGATATAGGAATGGGGGAAGGGGATAGGGACAGGAAGGAGGGTGGCCTTTCTGGTGGCTGAAGGTGAAGGGCAAGTCCAGTGAAGACAATGGAAGGAAAGAGTCTTTATGTCTGTTGCAGGTATGCTTTAAAAATCACCAGAGAAGCAATAGAAAGCTCCATTGCTTAAGGGCAGAAGATCAGATTTCTTAGAGGAGTGCAGAAGAGCTGAGATAGCAAGGATTCTAGATCTTGCTGGCACCAGGGACTGGAAATTGTGGGACTGGCCCAACAACATACGTATGTAAAAAAGGCTGGGGAAAGAGCGCCGCTGAGCAGCTCATGTAGAGGAGCAAGGAGGGTTACTGGACCTCCGGTTCCCAGCCTTCAGGTCCTTCAGGCCCTGGAGCTGTGCGGAGGTTGGGTTGTTTGGGTGGTCAGGGGCAACTGGATTTATGGGGTGGATTTTCGTGTATGCTAGATCTTCAGGTTATACAACTGTATGATAGAACAATTTTATACTACAGTGAAAGACATTAATTCCCCTCAAAATACACTTTCTTGCTTGGAATGCAGTTATCCCATCATTCTCACCACTTTCTGAGGCAGTTACTCTTTTTTTGTAAGAGTCTTTAAGTTGCATGGTTTTGGCTACTTACCTTGGTGATTTAATTTATTTTTTTGGTGGAACTGGGGATTGAACTCAGACCCTGCCTGTGCTTGCCAGGGAAGCGCTTATTCTACTGAGCCATCTCTCCGATTTAATTTAAGACGTTTATCTTTTGTGGTTGTTTCAGCTTGGGGATGAGCTAAGAGCCACATGGTGCCAGAAAAGGTGAATAAGGTAGATGAGGACACACTATAATATTTTAAAGCATCTACCTTTTTGTTGGGAGGTATTTTTTTTATTATATCTTATAAAGACATTTGTGAAAGAGGACTTCCAGAATTGCTCTAGAAAGTGGCAAGTACAAGATGAAATAAAAGTGTTCAGGGGGCCGGGGAGATAGCTCAGGGGAATAAGCACTTGCCTGGCAAGTGCAAGGACCTGAATTCAATCCCCAGTTCCGCCAAAAAAAAAAAAAAAAAAGGAAAAAGAAAACGTGTTCAACGTGCAGAGGAGTGTTCTGAGGGGAGCTAACAGCAATGTCTTTTACTGTAATGAGTCTGTATGTGAACATTTGTCGTATATTTCTGTCACACTTCATCTCTGCTGCCTTGTTGAGGCAAACCCTGGAGTTGACTGAAGTGAAGTGAACCTAGAAACTGCTATCTAGCCTCAATTTTCCCATCCAAAGTTCAGTTGAGCTTCAGAATTCCCCAGATTCAAATCCCTGAATCATCAGTCCTCACCTGGTGAGCTTTCGGGGCAGCTGCATGGGCACAGTGTGGCTCACGCATCCGCTGGGATGTCGTGCAGATACTGAGCGACATCACGGTGGCCCTGCTCCTCAGCCAGGTCCACAGGCAAGCGGCCCCAGGCATCACGCACGTCCAGCCGAGCCCCAGCTTGGTGCAACGCCACCAGCGTATCCAGGAATCCTTCCCGAGCTGCGTCATGCACTGGTCGTGAGAGGGAGACTGGGTCAGCGCAGTTGGGGTCCGCTCCGTGGAGCAGCAGCAGTCTGGCCACTCTGGCGCTGCCCATCATCATGACCTGCCGGAAGGGTGCAGAGCAGTCAGCGCTCAGCTGGAGGGATGCAAAAAAACTAATTATGAAGCTTTACCACTCATCCAGCCATGCCTTGCTGCAGACAGCCTTACAAGTCCCTGATGTCTAAATACCCTCATTTGCATCCAGTACAGCCGACCTTTCCAGTTCACCTACCCAATCCATTTCTCCTGCACACCTAGTGTCACTGTATTAGCCAACATGTTGTGTCTCTCTAGCTACAAGCAGACACACACACACAAAGGCAAGGGGGTGCACAATAAACTGGCTTTTACCACAAACCAAATTGCTGTATTTATCCTCATTTTGAGTTGAAATTATGTTAGCTCAGATACTTTGCATAGTTCACTGTTATAAAACTCAGACATGTAAATGTTAAAATTGTTTTAAACATTAAATGCCACAAAACTTTGTTACCCTTTTTTATCCTTTTCTTACTTTGTTACCCTTTTCTTTCTAAATATTAAACTTCAGTTTATTTCAATACAAAATGAGAAGGCTTGTCCCGTTAGCCCTAAAATTCCTTCTTGTTCTAGACTTAATAATGTCACCCAATTCTGGAAGTCCTCTTTCACCAGCCAAGTCATAATGCTCCCCCAAGGATGTTAATGTGCTAATCCTTGAAAGCTATAACTAGCTTCATTTCCTAAAAAAGTGAAGCTCTGTGGACTCATATTAGACTTTTGAGCTAGAGAGTGATAACTTTGTGCATGTTGAATCCACTAAATTTTGGATAGCAGCAGGAAACTAGAACACTTCCTAAATTTATGATCTGAGAGTTCATTAAACAGAAAATGTTCAACTCTTAATTTCTCATCTGTGACATAAAACCACTCCCAAAGAAGACTGTTTCGATGGTATCTGCAATCACTGCATTCTTGCATTTCGATTGCTGCGTGGTGGGGCGATGTGGCAGCTGAGTCCTCCTCTTAGAGCAGGCACCACTATTTGGTTGTATTAGCTCAGGGATGGTGACTGTCTAAAGAGGAATTACTCATTATAAAGTTCCATTTTGTGCCAACTAAAGGAATTAGTTTTCCTAAGTCAGGAAACTATAATAAATTATACTATGGCTGTTGAATTCTGCCCTGAAGAAAGTGAAACTAGTTTTTAAAAGGAAGAGGAGAAAAATGCAAGTGAAGTACGTTATAGCTACAGAAAGAAAAAAATATTGTGGTCCACTGTCCTTTGCCGGTGGAGATGCCCTCCATGCTGGTCACTACAGTGGTCTGAGGTGTTTTTCACTTACTTTACAATGAAGACAATAACGCATATTTAAATATTTAAATAATAATCATTAAAAAAGAAAATGAATATTTAGAGGATGTTCAACTTAATAAGAAGTTATTTTGAGCTTTATATTTTCATTTTTCTATAAACCCAGTATTTGTGCATTAAACACCAGTTTTTTTTTTTTTGGCAGAACGGGAAATCAAACTCAGGCCCTTGAGCTTGCCAGGGAAGTGCTTATTCTACTAAGCCATCTCCCCGTCCCTAAATGCCAGTTTGGTTAGAGATCTAAAGGAAAACCATTTCTTTTTCTCCACTAAATCACTGTCAAAGCTAATAATGTAATTTTCTTTTTCATTTTTTACTTTTAATTACATAATGTCTCTTCTATTATATTTGAGGACTCCAAAGCCAAACTCCAAGATGCTGAGAGAATCTTAGGGATGTTGACTTATAACCAGTGCATGTGATATTTTTAAAATCTGGTTTTTTTGTTTTGTTTTGTTTTTTGTTTTCAGTGGAATTGGGGATTGAACTCAGGCCCTTGTGCTTGCCAGGGAAGCGCTTATTCTACTGAGCCATCTCCCTGGCCCCCCCCTTTTTTTAAAAGAAAAACTGGGTTTTTTTTTCATGTGATATTTTTAATGGACTGATGCTTATGTGCTATAGCCACCTAACCTTTCCAGCTTCAAAATGTCTCTCCACTTCAACTGCCAAATAATCTTAAATTTTAAAACATTTCCATATTTGCACTTTAAAGTCAGTAAAATTTGTTCTATGTTGCATAGTTTCAGGCAGTGCGTGAAGTTTCAAGTGGTTACTTTCCTTTGTCTAGTTATAGGGAGTTTTTGCAATGTGCATTTGTTTAATATGAATTTACTTTTCAGAATCAGAAGTAATGGCCATCCCTGGGAATAATACGTGCTTGGTAACTGCCGAGGAGAATTCGTTTTTTTCATCTTGCAATGCAGGAAGTTAATGGAGGCAAAACTCCCTTAACTGTAGTAGTCTCCCACACCCAAATGACATGCAGAGGAAAGAAACTACACTTTTCAACAACGAGAGATTGAAAACTCTATCACAAATAAGTTATTTACACCAAGTAAGTAAAATATCAAGATTATGATGTGGCATCAAAACCATAACCAAGTGAGATAACACTAACGGATTTCTTCATGTTTATCTTTAATGTGAAGTTCCTACAACAGGCATTCGATTTCCTACTTGGTTATGATAAAAAAAAAAAAAGGTAGTTGATTCTCAAAAATTTTAACAGATATCTAAGCCAGAACACAAGGCAGTAGATTTCCAAAGAAAATTTCCATTTTCAAGGAAGACAAACTCCATCTATTCAGGGGGCTGTATATAGAGGAAAGCAGTCCCAGCAAATCATTTTTGCAACGCATTTAAAATTCGTGTTTTATCCCAGACTTGCACGGGGAAGAGCCGCCTCCGGCGCAAGCGACCCCCTCTCCGAGTTGCATCAGGAACCGCACCCCGGTTCCATGCTCCCTTGGCTTCGGAGCCTCGGGGAGGTGGCTGAGCTTGAGGAACCCCAGAAAAGGGCGCGTTTTCGTGAATTGGGAGAGCTATGTGCTTCCGATTGCTCTGTCAGCCTGGCCCGCGGAGTCCAGAGCCTTCCTCTGCCCCAGCAGCCCGGCTTTTCCTACCTGAATCGGGGTCCGGCCGAACCGATTCGGGGCATTGGGCGGCGCCCCCGCCTCCAGCAGCTCCCGCACCTCCTGGGCCCGGCCCCCAGCCGCTGCTGCGGCCAGCTTCTCGCCCGCCTGCTCCATGCTGCTCACAGCTCAGCCTCCCGGGCTCGGCTCGAGGTGCTCGCGATCCCAGCCCCCCTCCCCTCTGCCTCTCTCCCGCCCGCCTTCCCCTCCCCCTCCTGTCCCTGGCTCGCAGCGCGCACGCGGGTAACAGCCTGGTCTAGGCGGAGCCAGGCTCTGTCCACAGCAGGAGGAGCCACTCGCGCAGAGTACTGGGCTAACCGGAGCTCGTCGCCAGCCACGGCCAGCCCGGTTTCTCCCCACCTGCGTCCCAAGGGGCACCTCCCAGCCTGTCTGGTCGCTGCAGGCTGGCGCCCCAGGAGGTCCCTAAGCTCCAGCACCCCACCGGGCAATGCCCCTCCCTACCACCCGTTTACTTCCTTCCTTCCACGCGATACCCTACCATTAGAAAGCTAAGCAGGATTCTTTGCTGCCAATCCAAACCATTCAGAATACACATGTCCTTGGCAAAGATTAGTCACTGTTTGAATGCACAGAAATGCCAAAGGCTTAAGTGCCCCCCAGGATAGGCATCACGCCATCCAGGGCTGGGAGACTGTCCTTGTTTCAAATGACACATTCTCCTTGCCCTGGACCAGCAACTTTGGCGAATGAGGCGCATGCAGACACTCGCGCTCCGAGAATTGGCTTTGGTAGGTCTGTGCGCCTGCAGGTTTGCCTTCCTCCCGCCCGTGTAAAACGGATATCTGGGGGAGGGTTTTTCTCAGCAGACATGTGCAATTCCTGGTATAAGAACTAACTCCTCAGATGAAGTCTATGTAACACGTGTGGGTAAGAATCCTGCTTATAAGCAAACAGGAGAGCGCGGCAGGGAACCAATAGGCTAACAGTTCCGTCATCTATGGAGTCCTCCCGGGATTCAGAAGTGGGCCACTCCAGGGTCCCCTTTCCCGCACTTTGTGGAACTATTGTGACTTTAAATAAATTGATATATATACATAATGAATTGATATGAGTATTAAAGACAGGGACACACACCCTAAGGTAACATCTGCTAGCTATTGAATTATCATTTTTAAAGGATTCATTTGTAACCTTGCAAGACAACAAAAGAAAAGGCTTAGGGTGGAGTTGTCCAAATTCTTTCAAAAGAGAGGTCAAGAAAGACCTAGTAATTGAGAACATAATGGGCCTCCTGCACCATCCTCGGGTGTAATATTATGTAAAATAAAACAAACAGAGAGTTTGACAAACCAATGACATAGGGTTAGAATTCCTCAATGATTACCTGTGTGCTTTTAAAAAATATTTTTTAAAAATTAGATGACTTTGCTGATGCTTTAAATATGTGCTTAATCTGCCTACTGGATAGCCCAGTTTTATTTAAACTATGTTTCAATCCCTAGTTAACTTCTCCTGTAGAACCATACATAGCGTCTTGTAGTTTCATTTGCTTTTCTGTCAGAAGAACATGCAGTTTTTAAGTGACGCCAATTAAAATGCTCATGAGATGGCAAATCTTATAAAAACGCAGTTCATTACTAGGACATCTGTATTTTCCTTCAACCATTTCTCAATTATCTGAGCGGCAATGGTGCGGAGAATTCAAACTGAGGATAAGGAATATAAAATTCTTTTAACTTACCTTGACATATTTTATGATGAGAGGAGGAAATAGTGGTTGTAATGATGGTGCAGAGGGAACAAATTTCCTCTGTTATTAATATGTCTACTTTAGACCAATATCAAAATTAGCTTCCTTTGCTGTACTGTAATGTTTCTTAACTTTTAGGCAGGTAGAAAGAGTAGACACCTTCAAAGATCTGTAAAAGAGTATGGACCCTTTCCTCAAAAGAGGACGTGTGTAATAATTTTTTTAAAAAATGTGTACTTTGTACTAATAGTGTTTAGACAAGATATCATGTCTGCATCTTGTACTATGAATAACTACTATGAAGGCAACAATATGAAATGTATTAATTATTGTCACTGTCCTACTAACCTGTTTTGAAACTATCTCATTGCTATTTCTTTCTCAATAAAATTAATTAAAAATGTGTATTTACTTTGTGCATGAATGTCTGAATAAAACGTTTAAGGAATTCAGGGATTGGTTTTCAAGTCAGCTATTGAGTCTTGCATCAAGAATTCTGTCAGCTTTGATGCAATGTATCAGGCCACTGTTGAAGGAAGGAAACGGGAGATGGAACCATATAAATACACAGTTTGTATGCATCGTATGAATGAGATGAGCCTGGGCAAATGAACAAGATCCTACATAAAAATAAAAATGGCTGGGCATGTGACTCAGATGTAGAGCACTTGCCTAGCATGTGGTAGGTCCTGGGCTCAAGCCCCAATACTTAAACCAAGTTGTAACATCTTTGGGTATGTTCCTTTGATCGACTCATTTATTATAAATCCTTTATAACTAAAAATAGAGTGAGATTTTTTTTCTGTTTTTTGAAATTGATCACACTCCCAAGGTACTCATCCATCTCAGATCAGGTCTAAGGACCAACAATTCAGAGGAACCAAACCATAAAGGCCAGGGTCCTGGTCCTGGTCATGCCTCCCTCAGTTTTCAAAGTGGGATCATAATATATTTCATAGGTTCATAAATTTTAAGGTTTGCTATTGTTATGATGCTCATATTACTTTTTTTCTTTTCTGGGAACATCATGGTCTTTTTAAGGTATGTATTGCCTTGAAAGTTTTTTTAAACCAATGCTATCAAATTTAAGCATGTTTCTATTCTAATGTTTCTTTTAAAAGCAAACAAGTACCACTTGCTAATCATTCAACATGCTTAAAGGTAAGGTTAAAGCCTGAAGCCCAGGTAAGTGAAAAGATGGGTGAAAAGATGGGCTTTAGGTTTGGCCTGCAATGTGAACTTGGACTTTCCCAGTCATTTATTTCTAACTTTGAACACCTACTTATGCCTCGGCCTCATTTTCTTACTTATATGATTGAGATAATTCATAGTACTTATCTCAAACAGTTGTTACAGGGATTAAATGAGACCACTTGAACAAGAGCAAAAGGAAGCACAGGATGATGGGAGGAAGAAAATGTTAGCAAATGGAGGCAGTGGAGGCACATGTTTCTATAAATGAAGAGGGTGGCTTGCTTGCAGTGCGAACAAGACAGTAGGGCAAGAGAAAATGAGGAAGGTTTGTAATAAGTGTTTTTTTTTTTTTTTTGGTGGAACCAGGGTTTGAACTCAAGCCCTTGCGCTTGCCAGGGAAACACTTATTCTAATGTGCCATCTCCCAGGCCCCTGTAATCATCTTTTGAAGAAAGAGGCATTGGGCTTGTGGATAACTCACACACCAGCTCTATCAGACAGCGCCTCCCTCAGAGACACCTGACTGCTGAAACTAAAGATAGTGGGCCGCCAAATAGCTCAGCAGATTTAAAGCACCTGCAAGCAGGCGCAGGGGCTAGGGGTCCGCAGGGGCCAGAGGTTTGATCCCTGCGCCTGCCACCATGCTGGCCCCACCCCCAGGGCACACTGAGATGGCAATTGAGACTGGGCATGGTGGTGCACACCTGTAATTCCAGCTCTTGGGAAGCTGTAAACAGGTGGATCACTAAGGCTCCAACCTAGTAGTGAGACGCTGAACACCCTGTAGACCCTTCCCTATAAAATACAAAAAAAAAAAAGTACATAAATATAGTCTTGTAATGGTGCTACTATGCACACTTTCAGAACCAATGAATAGCAATACTATGTGTGAATATTAATTCAACAAAAATAGAGATAGCTACTTGAGACATACATAAAAAATACAGAAAGGTATTTAAGTCTGAAAGCTTTTAAATCTGACAAGACTGCAAGGTCGTCAAAGTAAAATCAGCATTGTGGTGCCCTCCTGGCAGGCTGAGATGAAGGACCACAAGTCTGAGGCCAGCCTGGGAATTTAAACAACACAACAAGGTCCTGCATTATTTTTTTTTTAAATAGTTTTTTAAAGAGCTGGGCATGGAGCTCTGTGAAAAGGCCCTGCGTTTAATCATGAATACCAAAACAGAATAACTGGCAAGCTATGATACACAAGCTTCTCATGTAAGCAAGATAATTTTGTCTGGAAAACAAGGAGTCACAGAAATAGCTCTGGGTCAGAAAAAAGTCCTGTACCACTAAAGAACTGTTTATGAATTGTAAATCTTTTAGACTATTTTTAGCTGCAATATCCATAATCTTTTTTAAAAATATCCATAATCTTTAAAATGGGCTCTATCTTGTTCTATTGTCTATATATCTTATGAGATTAATATGTCAAGTAAAATAATACACATAAATGCTGTTTTTAAAGGCATACATATCTTTCCACTTTGAATGTTAGATTGTTGTAAGACTTCACATACTGAAATTTGTTTGAATGGTGTATTACATTGAATTGTGCATATATTGGCTATTCTAGTGAATTAAATAAGCAGAATAAATTAAATTAAATAATTGCTTTTCTCAGTATTCTCATTCATAATGTGATTTGACAAGAGTAACTCAGAACTTACTATATGTTATGTACTTGTTTAAAGTTGTGGATAGGGGCTGGTGAGATGGCTCAGTGGTCTAAAGCACCTACTTAGAACAAACTTAGCAAAGCAAAGGGACCGAGGTTCAATCCCCCAGCACCACATGCCAGCCAGGGCCGCCCCCTGGTGGGCTGAGCTGGCCACACACACACACACACACACACACACACACAATAAATAAATAAAATTAAAAAAAAATAAAGTTGTGGATATATGGGCTGGGGAGTTAGCTCAGAGGCTTACGTGCCTGCTTGCCAAGTGCAAGGTCCTAAGTTCAATCCACAGTACCAAAAATAAAATAAAATAAAAAATTGTGGATATAAAGAATGAAATGTCTTACTCAGCAGTGTGTATTGGTAACAACTATGAGTACACTGTATTTGCTTTTCTTAAGAGATCTGTAATTAGAATGGGTCTCCAGGGGAACCTATATTAAAAGAATAAGAGGAGGAAGACTTCTGTTATACCTTCTGTGATTCTTCAGGCATGTGCTACTCAGGAAAACAAAGGTACTTTGGTGTCTGGAAAGGACCTCATAATGAGAATTA